ACGGGTATCGAAACCCGGATTCTAGCATTGTAAGTCCGCAGACATCCCGCTGTGCCACTGGGGGCTATGTATAACGAAAGTTGCATATATTATCATGTCAAAATTAGACAATATATATATATATATATATATATACATATTTCTCAATTAAAATGACTTAAACTGAGTACTGCACCCATATACTGATATCATTACATTCGCAAAATGTATATCTTCACATAATGAATAAAATAAATAAAAAAATACATAGAAATTATTTGTATTATCTAACTTCTTATGTAAAGACAAAATATTTCGATTTTTTACAATCAATTAGTGAAAAAGCCTTTTTCATTGAACCAGCGTTACTTGTGGAAAACACAAACCTTTCTGGGTACAAGCTCCAAGTAGTTTAATAACATTGGGATGTGACACTTCCTTTAACATGTTAAACTCTGAAAGAAGGTCTCTCTGTTCTGATAGGCTTTCTTCACCTGAGCAAAATAATAAAATACATCATTTTGAGAGAAAATGACCATTACTAAATCAACAGAACATCTTAGCCACTACACCCGTTTCGTTCATGGGAAACGGTCTTGCTTTGGATAGAAAAATCACATAGAATAAAGTACAACCTCTTATAAAAACAGAATTTGCAGGGAGTTTGAAAAGTTGTATCAATCAAAAAGCTATTACACATTAAAAAATAAGATAATATGGACAAAAATCGAATAATAAATGAAAATTATATAACCAATCCTCCACCTCCTCACTTCCATCTCATTCTTGCATGAGTGAATCACTTACATGCTCATTCAGGTGTAAAACATTAAGTAAAATGAGCTTGGATTTAAAATAATAGAAGATTGGAATCAGAGAGGTCTAGAAATATAATTAAAAAAGTAAAAAGAGCATATAACAAGATTGAAAATTACACAAATATTATACATTTCACGAACAAGAGTATGTTATACGGTGAATACATAAGCATTCCAAAGAAACCATTCCTATAAATAACAAATGGATTTTTGAGGGGGGGAATAAAACCGGATTAAAAATGTGAAAGCCAAGACGTTTCATCCAGTTAGCTTAGTATTATCAGGCAGCTATAAAATACATTATGTTTCAATAGATATTAAACTGGGATCACGAGAGATCATTAGATGTGTATGTTAAAATAACTGTATTTCACAATGTTAACCTGGAACCATTAGATGAATATGTTAAAACTTTTACGTGTCACTAGATTAAGGCAAAATTATCAAGTGAATATGGTAAAACCAGTATGTGTCACTAGGTGAATACGTTAAAGCCACTTGTGTTACCAGTACTTGACATTATGAGGTGAATATGGTAAAATCATTAGTGTCACCAATATGTGAAATTATCAGATGGATTTGGAAAATCCAGTAGGTGTTATCCGTACTTGAAATTATCAGGTGAATATGGTAAAACCAGTAGGTATCGCCATTATGTGAAATTATTAACTGAATATGGTAAAACCAGTAGTATCATCAGTAAGTGAAATTATCAGGTGAATATGGTTTTGTTTGTTTGTTTGAAGTTAAGCAGAAAGCTACACAATGGGCTATCTGTGCTCTGCCCACCGCAGGTATCAAAACCCGGTTTCTAGCAGGTGCATATGGTAAAACCAGTAGTGTCACCAGTAAGTGAAATTATCAGGTGAATATGTTAAAACCAGTAGGTATCATCAATATGTGAAATAATTAGGTGAATATTGCAAAACCAGTAGTGTTACCAGTAAGTGAAATTATCAGGTGAATATGGTAAAACCAGTAGTGTCACCGGTAAGTGAAATTATCAGGGGACTATAGTAAAACCAGTAGTGTTATCGGTAAGTGAAATTATTACGGGACTATAGTAAAACCAGTAGTGTTATCGGTAAGTGAAATTATCTGGTGACTATGGTAAAACCAGCACTTGTGCTATATAGTACAAACAACGTTAAGGCTGGCGATTAGGGCGCTCAATTCTCAATCTTTAGGTTGCGGGTTCGAATTCCCATCAACGAACATGCTCGCTCTTTAGTGTTGCTGTCAGGGCCAACTACCCGAGCGGTCGACCCCAAAACTACATGGGGCTACTGTCTAATGAAGAAGAAGAGTATGAATAACGTTTAGTGAAGGTTATTTTAAACACGCTGATTTGGCACCCTCTCGCCTGTTTAATAGTTTCTCTTTGCGTATGGGCCAAACTCGAAAGTTCATGAAACGCTGCTTCAACTTTATCAACCATCGTTTCATTTGAATATTTTTAGAAACTGCTAAACACGCATGCGTCTATTAACAAATTGGAAATTAACGTTATATTCATATATATACGTTTTCTATTGCTAGTTCTTCAGTGAGTAGGAAAAATATTCGTTCGTTCGTGTTTTAATTATGCACAAAACTACGCAAGGGCTATCTGTGCTCTGCCCACCACGGGTATCGAAACCCGATTTCTAGCGTTGTAAGTCCGCAGACATACCGCTGTGCCACTGATGGCTTTTGAAAATGTAAAAATGAATATAGAACTGAATTAGTGTGGGAATCACAATATACGTTGCCTTTTGTGCATAACTGTAGTGTTATTGTAATTTCATGTTAAGAACTTTATTCAATAATAACGATGTACTAACAATACATTTGTTATGTATATTTATCGTTAACAGCACGTCAAATGTTATAAGAAACTTATTCGATTTCTTCGTTTCCGAGGTTACACGACAGTATATTAGTTTCCAAGCTTCTTTTTTTTTTACAGATGTCCTCGGTAGGTTAGCAGTAATTTCACGGACGACGACGTTAAAATCTTGGGTTTGATTCCCCACGGAGGACATAGCTTAGTTAACCCGTTGTGTAGCTTTGCGCTAAGAGAACAACAACACCAGCTTTTCAAATTGTTTAATCAGTTTGTTCTGCGCGAGAAAACGGAGATTCGAACTCATTGCGATGGCTACTAATGGTATATCCGAAACCGAAAGTTACTGCTATTTTAAATTGTACTTAGAATTTTAACTGATTTTTTTTATAACTAAATGCAAAGATGTGATGGTAGAAAAATACAGACGAATTCTGCATGTAAACAAGAACTTAGATAAAATCGACACCGTTTAGTCGAACAAAAATTAACTGTCATAAGCTGAAACTTAGGACAACAACAACGTAGAATAAAAAAAAATATATCAAATGTAAGCGTCATATTTATAATCCCTTTGCTATCGGCCATAAGTGTACCAGGACATGACCTAGAACTTTTAGAGTTAATTAATTTCATTTAATAATTTCTAGTTGTTATACTTGCATGTTCTATAGGAAAACACATTCATGTGTAAAGAGTTTATGCTATATACATTTGTCTATATATTATATAAGTAGAATTAATCAAGCGTGACTTTGTATTATGAAGGTCATGCCATATTTGAAATGTATAGAGAGATTACAGATCTGTTCATTCATTAACCAAGTTTCAAGGATATACCTTTTTTTTTGCCATACCTTTCAACATCTTCACTGCGACTGTGCTGTATCCGTTCTGACCGTTAATGTTCCAGGCTTGGGCTCGCATCACTCGTCCAAACTCTCCCTCCCCTAATGTCTCTTCTATAATTAATTTATCCCGTGGAAACTCCCACTGGGCGTCGCCCTAGTAGAATGAAGAGCGTTAATATACTGGTAGACCTTGTACGCTATATTTGTAATTTTGATTAGCCAAATACCATCTTTGTATTTACATATAATAATTATCGAATCTTTCTCCTTTTGCTAGCAAATAGCCATGGTTAAGTGTGAAAAGATTACGTGGGCTATTAATTAGTTTCTGGAGTCAGAAGGTAGCCGTGTTTTAAACACAGCGTTTATTTGCAAACTTACCTGGTTTCTTTTTAAATTAATAAAGTTTTAGCTAGATACTTGCCAAAGATTTGCTCTCGGACCCAGTAGAGGTTTCATTGGCGACTTGATGTGGGTCGTGCATAGAAGAAGAGCGATCATCTACATAGTCAGAAGGTACCACAGAGAGGGACATTCGGCTTTCAACATATTTGTTTTTGGCCTTATTCCTGTATTTTTTTATGCCTGAAATGAGGATGAAAAGAACGCACACAACCACAGCGCTGCAGAGGGCTAACAAGATCAGGGTGACACATTCCTCCCCACATGTTGTGGTGTTGATAATACCTATAAGAAAGAAGAGCGTTTCAATAACATTTCCTACAAGCTTCGGATTTTTGAGATGTTATGGTAATGATGCACGCTTATCGTTCTTTCATGCACTGACAAATCGTGGAAGGTGATTCCCCCATTAATGCATCTATGCTGAAAGAGAAGGGAAGCTTTATGAAACATAGTGACTTGATTGAAAGTAGGGGCAACACGTATGAGAGGCCTGGGAAGGCTTAACTTCCCCAAATGGGTGGAGAGGGATAGTTCATCCCTGAACGCCTGAGGAACACTTATCATGGACAAACACACAATTCTCCGAAATGAAATGCCCCTTACAGAGCATTATTCTCAACAACTCAAATATATTATACTGTATAGTGACAGAATATCCTACCAAAACACAAGATTCACGTGCCATCTATGACTAAAAGTAGTTAAGACAATTAACTGTGTAAAATAAATTGGAAAGAAGTAAAAACAAAACATTTTACCCGAGCTAGAAACTGTTCAACCAGAAAAGTTTGGTAGTAGTATCTGTGTTGAAAATTATCCCACTATATAGTTTCTATGACTAATAGCTGTGCTGGGAATTACATTAACACAGTATCTGAGCTATAAACAGTTTTACAACAAAGTTGTACTTGTTGCTGTGATGAAAATTGTTGTTGCACAAAGCTGTGTTGGAAATTGTCCTATCAAAGAGATGTGATACTAGTAAGGTAAACGTACTTGAAATTATTCTAGCATAAAGTTATGGCTAGTCTAAATAAGTTGAAAATTGTTCGCACCCAAACTTGAGGTAATGGTACTTTAGAGAGAGAGAGAGATTATTCATGCATAAAAATCAATAATAATACAAATACAGAGCTATGGTAATAGTACTCGAAACAGAGATTATTCTAACGCAATGCTATGGTAATAATACATGTATTGGCTATTGTTCTGACGCAAGGCCATGGTAATTATACATGTTCTAGAAGTTACTCTAACACAAAGCTATGGTAATAATACCACCGTTGGAAATTGTTCTAACGCAAGGCTATGGTAATCACACCTGTATTGGCAAATATTCTAACAAAACTATGATAAATACATCTGTGTTGGAAATTGTTCTAGCATAAGATTTTGGTGATAGTGCTTGAGCTGAAAATTATTGAAAAACAAAAACTTGAACAAATATTTAGCAAATATTAAAAAAATAGTTATTTAGTAAACAAGGAACAAATTGAAAAAAAAAACACACACAACAACAAAGATATGGATTTGAACATGAAATCTGTATGACTAGCCGTTATTTTAAGTAAATTTGCACAAACATGAGACATTTTTATTAAGATATACCAACCAGAAACAAAATAATCACTATTTTCTTTTCCTGCATCTGTGGCGACATCATCCACGTCCTCTGTTAATAGTTTTGGAGTTATCCTTTTGTTTAACAGACCACCATCTGCTTCTAAAACATTACTTCTGTTGGTTACAATATCGTAGCTTGGCGGCTCTTCACATTTACAGATTTTGATGGCAATACAAGTGCAGGTGCCAACTGCCATCTCAATTCCACGTTTGCTGTCATTGTTCGGGAAGGCAACTGAACCACCTTCGATTTTTTCTTTGATGAAAACAAAAACTGTCTTTTAGGAAAATCCCGAATTACATTAAAAATGTTATAAGTATAATAATGCGCAAAATATTTAATTTGTTTCTAATATATCACTTGGTTAATTACCTTAAAAATGTAATTCCAAAGTACTCCTTCAATATCGTGAGTCCATGCAAAAACCACATAACAGTTACGCCTTCAATAGAGAATATTAATATACAAAAAATGGATGACCGTTACTTCTTCAATCGGGATTAGTACTATACAAAAAATGAATTTCTCCAATAAAGATTAGTATGCAAAACCCAAATAACAATTCCTGATGCAATCGGGATTAAAAGTATGCAAAAAAAAAGCATTTCCTTTTCCTTAAGATTTTTTTTAGAGATAGCAGAACAAAACAATGTGAAACACTATCTTAACGAAATCGGGGTCTCCTTAAAATGCAAGGAATTTCATAACAATATTGCTTATCGGAAAACAAGATCTTTTGAAACTTAAATTAACACAATTGTTCTTTATAAATTATTTCCAGTTCTCCTGTGACTACTGATAAATGATAACTTGTATGTAGATAGACACTTCCTTGCATAATGTAATATATATATATTAAAACCGAATTACAATTACCATTTGTAGAATCATTTGTACCGTTTTTATCATTCACATAAATAATATAAATATTTCTCAGTAATATTCTTGAAGGACACATTTTAAAAAGTATGAGAACTTTTCATCACTAACCACAACAGTCTTGAGGACAAATATGATCGTCGAGTTTTTCTAATTCATCACAAACTCCATCAGGACAAGTCATTAAGTCTGGACTACAAGTAGCGTATTTGGTTGTTGGAGAGGTTTTGTATTGATTTTCTCGCCATGAACAGTGACTCCTAGTGGTTCCTATTCCACAAGAAGCGAGACACGTGTCCTTGCCATCATTTATTGCACAAGAGTCTGAGGTACGACAAAGAATAATACTTTAGTAGAGTAAATATCAGAATAGATTAGTAATAGAATAAAAATCCTGATTAAACAACACTCTAAACATCACTTGGTAAGTTCATTTTCTTATATTTACTTACATTAATGATATTTATCTTTCGCTTTATTTTGTTTGAACATTTTTCAAAAACTTTTTTTAAGATTAAAAACAAACTTGTTTCTTTTATAGTCTTGAACTTACCGCATTTTTCAGAGAAGAAGTTATGATCTGCGTGAAAAAAAGAAAATAAAATTACAAATTTTTATGAAAAAATAATACATACATCATCTCTTCAAAGACATAAAAAAGTTCTCTCATAATAAAATACGCTCAGATATATTTTTGTGTTTCATTAGGGTAGTTATAATATTGGTCGTGAATATATTTTCATGCAACGACAAAATGCTCTCAGCATTATTTTCTGAAAATTTTGTAACGTGAGAAAAACTTTTACTGATAAAATTTCAAAAGAGAAATTAGTTAGACTAAATAGCTTTGTCATTCAGCCAGGAAATCACGTATAACTAATTATCTTAGTCATTCAGACAAACAATTCATGTAAGACTAATAGCCAGGCAGTCATCTAAAGTTCTAAGCCATTTAGAAACAATTCGCAAAGCCATTGTATTACTACAATAGCAATTTTAATAAATCTTTTATTATTTATGAAAAGAAACGCGCCTGTCACTAAGACACATTTAAAATGTTTTAATCAAAATGTACAATAATCATTATTTTAAGGAAGAAATTAAAACGTTTTATGTCTTAAAACAGGCCCGGCATGGCCAGGTGACTCGCAATCTGAGGGTCGCGGATTCGAATCCCCGTCCCACCAAACACGCTCGCCCTATAGGCCATGGGGGCGTTAGAATGTGACGATCAATTCCACTATTCGTTGGTAAAAGAGTAGCCCCAAGAGTTGGCGGTGGGTGGTGATGACTAGCTGCCTTCCCTCTAGTCTTACACTGCTAGCGCAAATAGCTCTCGTGTAGCTTTTCGCGAAATTAAAAACAAACCAAACAAAGCCTTAAAACAACCTCATGGTGAGAGTTTACTAAGCTATCATTTTAACTGAGGACGTAAAAAACAACAACAACGAAAAGACAAAATAAAACAAAACTGACGCTATATATATAATATTTGAGAAATACGTTTTGTCTTACTAGCCAATAGCTTTACGGGTATCTGTACAGTATATACACACACACATATATACATATTATATAATAAAAACTGATAACTTGTGCCAGGCCAATTTAGCGGCGACTAATGCAAACTGAATATAAATGACATGAGATTGCATTAAGAAGCGAAAGGGCAATGCAGGAGCGTATAATCAGATCAGAACAAATAGTCCATTAACAGTTTGCCCGCTAGCGGAGGATTTAGGGGAAACCTGTGCCCAAAGAAATGTTCAGTAAATGAGGTACAAATTAAGTTTTTAAATGTTCTTCTAAGAAATTGATATTCACACTGGCTAATTAAGTTTCTCCTTTCTAAAATATCACACACTCTAAAGTTGAAATAAGATGTAAATAGCTGAGAAAGTGACTTAAAATAAACAAAGTTTTTGTGATAAATCAATGAAATGTATTCTAAAATGGCATAGGATGGACGTATATTATCAAAGAGGCTCATTATACTAACAACAGTCACGGATGTTAAAGCAACTCGTTAAGGAGCTGGTGTGGTACTAATTTAGGCTTACGGTATATCTATAATCTAATACTTATAGAATTTGATATTTGTCGCAATTAATCATATATATTTATAAAGGCAGGGTAAAGCACATAAAAAGTTACTTGGAAATTAGACATTATAAATGTTTCTTTTATTAGTAGCATAACGGCCATCTTTTTATTAGCTTGTGTAAAGTAGTGAGTGAGTTTATTCCTATTGGAAAACTTACATTTCCCTACTACTTATTTATACCATCAATAATATCATCTATTGTTCTAAGTTAATACAGTGTTATTAAATACAGAGTAGTTTCTTTAGCTTCAACAAACTCGTCGATAACTAAATGTGTGCGACTTATCCTAATAAAAATCTAATGGTGTAAGATCAGGAGAGCGTCATGCCAATAGGTTATGATGGTTATCCGTTTGCCGTCAAAAGTGACATCCAGATACTCCATGATATACAATACTTAGTGGGGCGGCACACCGTTCTGCTGAAACTGGTACGTTTTTTTTTAAATATGCAACCAACAGGCCAATATGTTCCTACAACAGAAAAAAGTAGCCTTCTACAGTTAGCGTTTTACTGATTAAAAATAAATGTACCAGCAGCCTAACACCCTATCATTTTATCAGCTCCCTTGTCACAGGTTCCTGCGACCCAGTGTGGGTTTTCTTGGGATCAATATCGGCAATTATAACGATTTATTTAACCTTAAATGTAGTATTTTCTGTCCAAAAAAAAAACAGTAGTCTTTGTCTGGTTTCACCTGTATCATGAATCATTCACAAACTTCAATATGCTGATCTGAGCCATCTTCTATCAACTTATGGAATATGTGCAGCTTATGAGGTTGGAATTATGTTGAATCAGAATCCTAAGCACATTTCTTTGGCTTGTTCCTGTATCTAATGCTATTTGGTGAATTAGCTTAGTTGAACTTGCTAAGACACGGCTTATCACTTTTTCTGAAAAAATCTCTTTCGTCGCTTTAAAGAAAACACCATTTGTGCGAGGACAGAGGAGGAGAGGTCTTCCATTCAGGATTTTGCAAATCAAGTTCTGTCGCGACAGAATCCCAAAATAACAGGGCCACTTTCACAATTCTTACAAGGGTTAATTACATTCCGGCGAATTATTGCCACAAAAGAATAAGCGACATCTTGTGACACCCAAGTGTAACATAGAAGAGTCTTTATAAGGACCTAGGGACTTAAAAATATCATGATGGTGCCCAACGATTCCACCAAATTGTATGTGCTGAGAGACAAAGAGGGAGAAAAACAGCGAAAGACACTAGTTATTTATAATCAAAAGATATTATGAAACATTCAATAAAATAATTTGAAAAGCAACATGAGATGGTAAACAATAGTAATGTTGTATACTGTACAGAAATAAAGTCAAATAGCCATGCTACAAAAAATGTAAATAAATATATATATATATATATATATATCTGTGATCAAATTTGTAAACCTAGAGACATAAAAATATACAAGGGTAAAACACACACACACACAACAGTTTATTAATCCACAACTTACCATCATCTGTAATATTAACTACAACTTGCACAGTGTTCTTTTCTTTCTTATTTTTAACAGTCCAGGATAGGTTTAATGGCATTTCTCCACCCTCCACGATTTTTAAGCGTTCGGTGTCTGCTACGTAAATAATTCCTGATTTTGGTGTCACTTTGAAAATATCTTTTTCAGAAGTTAGCTCAAACGCCCAGTGGTCAGTGATTTTGACTGGTACTGGTTGTAGTACCTGAATTATAAAAACGAACAAAAAAAAACATGCTTTATTCCGTGACGACCGTGGGGACTTAAAAATTTTGATCTGATCAATAAAAGCACATACTTTCGTGCGAGCTTTATTTTGTTTTTGTTTCCTTTATGTTTCGCAGTAGGTCCTTGTACACAATACAGTTTTAACAATTTTATGGATCACAAGTGATCTTTAGAACTGTTAAACGTCATACGTCTCTCTTAGACTAGTGGTTTTGGATTAATTAAATTTTACACAATACGAGATAACCGAAAAATCCACTGATATTTGTGCTCATGATAGTGTTTTTCATGGCAGGAAACGTCACCTAATATTTAAACACAAATTACTGATATGATTTTATCAAGTCTAAGTATCTTGAATTTGTTTTCAATTGGGAAAAATATTGAAATACAGGATGGTACAAAATATAGCTCCTTTGTTTCTTTGTTGTTAAGTGCAAAGCTACACATACTTACCGCGCTGAATCACCGTATAGAATAAAACAATACATGATAATTTCATATTTTACTTTATAGAGCAATTAAATGACGTATTTGCTTTATTTGGTCGTTGAATTTTGCACATAGCTCAACGAGGGCTATCTGCGCTAGCCGTCAATAAATATATATATATAAATTTGAAGTCATAGACTTAGAGGTAATCAACACCACTTACCCTCAACTCAGACCAAGTAATGGGATTTCATCGTCACCTCACTCTTATAACGCACCCACGACCTTCAAAAGCGGAACGAGGTTTCTTTTTCTGCGTGGTAACGGGACGTGAACCATAAAACCTTAGAATTACAGCCCGTCACTCTAACCACTGACTGGGCCGCACTCGGCCAAATCAAATTAATAAAACATAGATTAGAAATATCACTATGTCTCATACAAAATAGGAATTACAAAAGAAAAATCTCTCGGTGAGTCAACGGTAAGTTTAAGGACTTACAACACTAACATCCATGGTTCGATTTCTCGCAGTGAGCAAAGCGGAGATAGCCCATTGCGTAGCTTTGAACCAAGAAAACAGTAGCTACAAAATAACAATATATTGTAATATAACTGTCTGAGACAGGCGAACATTAGCTTTTATCTTAGTTTTTTTTAAAGCAAATAAGGGTTTTAATTTCGGTTCAAATCTTCTGTATTCATAAATGGAATCTATATTTCCACTGAAATGGTTTGAGAAGCAGTATTCAACCATTTTATGATCTGACCCCAAAAGACGCGGACTTCACGGAGGTTGAAGGTTTAAATAGAATGAAACTAAAGTTTTAAGGAAAATAAAAATCACGGACTTAAATTCTTATTAACATTCCAATCAGATATGTATAGTGTAAAAACATTTTTCAGTATTTTTTATAACCCAAGTAAATTTAAAATAGGTAAAACAAAAAAAGAGATAGGTCAGAAATAACAGCATAAAGAAAGTAGTTAAAATTCCGATTATTTTACAGAACAATAAAATTTATCTATACAACTAAAATATTATATACTGTATAAAACAACTTCTTTATACAGAATCACAAAATTCTATGTTTGTTTTAATGCACGCTATAACTTTTAAAGATAATTTATTGAATTTACAACTTGTATTCTTAGAATCTAGTAGTAGCAACTTTCTTAGCTCTAAAATGAAAGCAGTAAGAAAAAACTAGAATTATACATTATTCGGGAAATCAAATAGACCCATAAAAGAATACTACCTATAAGTATAATACAACCATTATCTTACCCTGGAGAAAACGGTCGCCAGTCTAGAGATCGTCACTGGATAAATAGCCGCTGTTTCTGAAGTTTTGTTGAAAATATGAACATGATATATTACCTGAAATATGCATATTTATTATATTCTTAGCTACCTCGAACTTGAAACAGTAAAGAAATAAGTTAAAAGTATACTTGCTGGTTTTATTGCACAGACATTGGAACTTATTTAAAATACTGATAGTGAGGTCTTGATGAAGTGAACATGGGTCTAAGAATACTAATACCGACTTTATGACATAGGGAACATGGGTCCAACAATACCGAAACCGAATTCATAGGTCTAACGATAACGGGGCTAACAATTGGTTTTGAGTTAATGACAGTGAGAACATGGGCCTAACAATAATGTATCGTATTGACGGAAAAGTGAACATGGGTCGCACACAAATGGTATCGAGTTTATGACAAAGTGAACATGAGCCTAACAATACTGTACCACATTCACGGCAAAGTGAACATGGGTCTGTAACAATACCAGTAATGAGTTCATGACAAAGTGAAACTGAGTCGAACAATACTAGCACTATATTCATGGCAAACTGAACGTGGAACTAACAATACTGGCACCGATTTTATGACAAAGTGAACATGGATATAACAATACCTACTAGTAGAGTTCATAATACAGTAAAGCATTATTAGCATAAAATAACTTAAATTACTTGCGAAAACAATAATATAAGATTTTTGTCTAATTAATTCCGTTCATGAGAAATGCGTTCACATAGAAATTCTTAGAATGAGCTGAATACTTGAATATAATGTGTGTGCCACTTTCCAGTACACAATTTTTTTGTACATCATAATACTTTGAAGCATGTGCATGTCAAACTTACTATCCCACGTATCTCTAACATTCCTATAGAGTCATACAATAGGTGATACAACATGTGATGTTTACAGAAATAAAGAAATGCTTTCAGTGTTTGAATAAATTGCAAATAACTTTGAAAATAAAGTAAAAGGTATTTCTGTCGATTCTTGGTGACTGAAAATTCATTTTATAACTTTTAAAATATGTCTGGTTACTACAACAGATTCTTTCCAAAAATCATGAGTCATGTAATTTGTGTGATGAAGGAATATGCATGACTTCTTTTTCGAATAACTGGTTCGCATGTTATATTTGCATTAACCTTTGTTCTGAACCTATTTTAGTAAACACTAACACATATTGATTTATTGATATTTCTCAAAAAATCTTCCAAACGTAAACACTAACCCAATTATTAGTATTTCTGAAACACTTAACGTGGATAGTTTTAGTATAATCAAAACTTCTCAAAGAGTGATTCTTGTTTGTTTATTTGTTTCAGAATTTCGCACAAAGATACACAATGTGTATAGAGTCAACCCTACATTTTCAAGTGGTAGAACAGATGGAAGGCATTCCCGCCAGACCTTGGGCTGCTCTTGTTTGCACAGATAGTGGGATTTGACTGTCATTGTTATATCGCACCCACGTCCCCAAAGTATGGAGCGCGTTTCTGCGGCAAGGGGCCGCGAATCACGAACCCTCGAATTCACAGTTCGTCTATTTTAACCATATAAGAAAAGTTCCAAGAAAAGCTAAACGATTTTAGTTTATTTTCCAATAACATCCACAACAATAAAAGCTATATTGCTACCTGCTTCAACAATATTTGAACAATATCTGGAGAGTTGAAATAATCAAAACAAAATAGTTATGCCAATGCAGGATGAAACCAGCTGCACAATCTGTATGATTTCGAACTGTCCGTTACAAAAGTAAGTTTTCAGATACTGTTGTTACCTTTATCAGTTCTGAATATTGTTGGGTTTCCTCAATTGTTATTTATTTTAGTTCATTTTCACCCTTTGAATTCTTTACTTTTCGGTTTTATCACACAACATCCTTTATTAGGTAATAATAAATGGCAGACCAATATCGTACCTTAAGAAAGCATAAACCAAATGAAACTAAAGAAAATAAATAATTAAAACATTTGTAATTCTCACTCGTAACGTGGAGGGTCGGAATAAGACGTGGTAGACAGTACGTGTTTTATTGTAGTTTATGTCTCATTAAAAGCTGTGAAGAAAAGCAGCTATTTTACATAGTAAATACCAAGTCAGGATTATAAATCTGGATGTGTGCTGCATCACTTTTCGTTTAAACATCCTTTAATATATATATTTATATACACTGCCTGGCCACTTCAGTGGAGCACTCCATTTATTACCATGTGCAAAGTAGACTGACAATATGTTGTGGCCGATGATTTCCCAAGACCTATAGATGCAGAAATAATCACATCATGGCTTGGTTGCAAGATAATGGACAAGGATAAGGTTTTATTTAATTTCTAAGTGGACATGAAAATTTCGCTGAATCCGAAAATGATATCCATTTATCTCCATCGTGTACATATTTTTCACAAAACGTCATAACGCAATGCATAAAAGAAAGACCACAACACGTAGTTTTGAGACTTAAAGACGTAGATTTCACAAAAAATAGGATGAATGAGGATGCATATTCGTTTGACATCAATGTTCTTCTCTTTTGTCCAGTTTGTTTGTATTTTTGTTAAAAACGTAATAATAAAAAATGTTCATTGTGGTAATGAAATAATGATTTGTTCTAAGTAAGAGATTTTTTATTCTTTCCGATTTGTACAAAAAATCTTACGTGATAGAAAAAAATGAACATTGTTTTCAAAATCTGCATAGCTGAATTATGGTAAACCCTTTATTAAAAACCAAAACAGCTTTTATAAAGTTTAAATTCGCATACCTGTATTATTTCAAAAATGGTCAGAATTTTTATTACACGCCAGAATAATCGGATCTCAAACTGATAGCCAGTGAGTGACTTCAGACTAAAACATAGATTAGAAATATCATTATGTCTCATATAAAATAGGAATTACAAAATGTTTTCAGTGTTTGAATAAATTGCAGACTCACTGGATCTCAAACGGATAGACTCTGAGTGGCATCAATCCATTTTCCTAGCCAGCAGAATCAACAGATCTCAACCGGATAGACAATGAAAAACTTCAATCACTTTTCTAAGCCAGCAGAATCACCGAATCTCAATAAGATTGAGCATCTTTGGAATAAATTGAAATCTCACATTCTCTACTGTATGAAATCTTCTGGTGATAACTTTGAATTATTTTCATTTTTTGTTGTCTCATTGTATAATAATATTGCTTCTTAATGAATCGTGAAGTTTTATAGGGAGTAAAATAGCATATCATCATGCTTTCTTTGCATTAGCAACGTTTCATAAGCAATAACTTATATTAACACGTTGGTTTTTTTATACAGTTATATCGTTTAAGAAACAGTAAGTTGGTATAAACCAGGTTGTTTAACTGTAAGATAAATATTCACAACAATATAGGGGTCAATGTTACTCCAAATATTTATGGGCAGATGGAAAATCCCATACCCATATTTAATGAGATTTGTTATTCTAGTTTATTAGCTGTAAATCAGTGTTAATTATGATTCTTCCTAGTTATATAACTACCTTGATTTACAAACTGTGAACTTACCTTGTTGTCTTTCTTCTTCCAAACACTTCGATCTTCTATTATTACAGATATATTGTAATCTGGCCCAGGAAAAGCTAACGACTTAACAGTTTTCACCCCTAAAATGTCAAAATTATAAAATATCAGCGCGAACTCACACAGAAAGTAGAATGAATTAAAACCAAACATTCGTTTACTTCACTTAAAACACAGGGAGAGTACTTAGAGCTTTCATATAATTTTGCTCAGAGAGTATTTGTGCTACAATATCTGATTTAGAGAAAGGATTATGTTACCAGTTTTAACATTCATTAACATTAGCTTTCTGGTGAGATTTTAAACTACTATTAGCTGTATTCAGTAGTGGGTATAAGACACGAGCAAACCATAAATGCTGCACTTCACCTGTCACATGAAACCTGATCTATAAAGAAATCAAAACGGTTTGTATTTATTACCGGACATTCAAGTTATACTGTGCTTAACTATCATGTAATAAAAACAGTTTAATCATTTTTTGGTGTATCTTCCACATTATGAACCAACATTTAGGGGATAACAAAGATTTATTAATGAAGAGTTAAAGACGCTACACTTCCAGGTTAGAATACCATTTGTGTTTAAATTGGTATATCGTAACAAAACTTATCTTTTAGAGCAGACATTATTAGTTAAAATACTCTGACAATGGGAAAACATAAGTCACTATTATTTCCCCTAAATTAATTTTATTTTGTTTCAATTACACAACAACTAAGAAAGAATTCTTTTCGTAATTAATAGCACACATTCAGAATAATAACGCTCTCGTTATTATATTCAAGCAAAAATCCCAAACACAAAAACATAATGCATCGTATTACGTAAATTACTGGATTAATGAAAAAAAAAGATAAGAGTGGTGACAGCTGAATAGACGATTTAAAGGAAAGATAACAAAAGATGGAACGATTAGAATAAAAATGGAAGTAAAAAACCAGAGAAAAGAAAAGCTAAAAACATGATAAACTGGAACAACCAGAGAGAAAAGATCTTAGAACAGTTTGATTAATAACGTCATAACATGGGATAAGGATTGCAGTTTGCATATGCTCGATGATTTTACAAGGACGATAAATTTCTCATTAGTTTATACAGCTATAACTTATGAAGTGGCTTAAAATCAACTTGCTGTTTACACAATAAATATTCTTATTAGATGCTGGCCTACAGCGTAATGGTGACTGTATATCAACCCCAAAGAAAATATATTTATTGTGTAAACTTCCACAATTAATTGTAATATAACATGAACAATCTCTTTAAAGAAGTATCTAAGTTTCTAATATATATTTAGTAACTAAGACAGGATCTGCCCGAAGAGAAAACGTCATTAAAGAAAACTTGCTTAATCAGTAAAGATAAAGTAACGTTTTTGATTCGAAAATAATAACTTCACGAACACTAGTGCAAACTGAAATTTACCCTGTCTGCAATTATTATTGTCGGCGGTTACTGATTTATCACAAAGAGTGTATTTCCTGAACGTGCTCTGCTTAGTGGAAGCAAAATTCAGTTTAGCACTTTTAAAAATAATTAAATTATAATGTTAAGTCTGTATATGATAGCAGGAATTATTTACTCGAGCCCTATTAGTCTGTCATTTGTTCCATCAACTGCATTCGTCTGGAATTTTCACTACAAATTTCATCGGTTTGGTATTTTATACTACGAGACTTATTAGTCTAGAGTTTCCACTATAAACTTTTAATTACGAAACTTATTAGCCTAATAATTTTACTACAAATTACATTAGTCTGATATATTTTCTACAAAATTAATCGATTTGTCAATTTTACTGCATACTACAATAGTCTGGCATTTTTGCTACAGACTGCATTAGCCTGACATTTTTACTGAAACTACATTAGTTTAGCAACTTTTAATACTAAACTATAGAGTAATTTGACATTTTTTTTTCTACAAACTGCATTCGTCTAGTAGTTTTACTACAAAATGCAATAGTCTATCATTTTAAATAGAAAATACATCAGTTTGACATTTTTATTACAACATTAGGGTACTGGTCTGACATTTTAAACTATAGAGTATATTAGTATGGTATTTTTACTACAAACTAGCTTTAGAATTGCGGGAATGCATATCCAATAAAATAAAAACATAACAAGTAGTAAATTATGTCTCAGAGCGAATGTATTTCAAAATTACTGATTTTGATTACATGGAACGTTCGAATCAATACCATCGTTGAGCGGAAATGTATATAATCGTTCGAATTCACCACCTTTTTTATTTTTAAAAGGACAACCCTTGTCTAATATAAAAAGATGTAACACACATCTTATAGTCTGTGATCTTTTTTTGTCACACACACAGAGAAAAATTCATTGAGCTCTGTCAACCAGTAAAAAAATTATTCAGATCATACAGCAACTCATTTATTACCGAATGTCCGAGTCTCTCTCTCTTTCACATTCTTTAAATGTTCTATGTTCTATAGGAATTACGGCTAAGGACCTGTTTATCAATTCGAATGAAAATTATAATCTGAATTGGAACATGCTTTCCCGTACTTACGTAAATATATGTTGTTGTTTTATTAACTTTAATAATATTTGCAGCTTAAAAGGATGAAATACATTAAAGTTTAACATTTTCGCCCTAACTATGAATTATTGACAATATAGTAAGATCATTACAAAATGATATAAAATAATAATTCATCAGTAATAAAAAAACTGTTGAAATAAATCTAAAACAATTAAAAGTTAAATTGCCCCATTTATCTTACTTATGACTAAGAACGTTTCTTTTTTTACAGCTCTGTCATACACCTCGGTGATTCTAACTTTAAAGAATCCTAAAGGGTCGTTTTCTATCCGGGCATTGACATTGTTGACGGCAGCAGAATCCTTATCGAAAACGTTAAACTGGAACGGAATATATGATCCCTGAAATGAGAACATTCAATGTAATTAAACTAAGAAGCAAAAATTAAAATAATACGTATAATGTAGCATTAATAATGGTTTTAAACAGAACATGTTGTAGATGTAGTGTTGGGGATGATATTACCATAGCAGTAACAGCACCATAGGTACTAAAAGTGCTAAAACGGAGAAGGACAATAGTTTTGAATATTATTTGTCAATACTAAAAGTTAGTTCAGCAACGTAGTATTTATGATAGTTAAATATAACAGTGATTGAAATGCAGATGTGATTGTACATTTTGTAATACAGTTTTGTTAGTTTATTAAGCACAAAACTGCTGCACTGTACACACAGCAAGGATCGAAGCTAAAGTTTTTAGCGTTATAAGCCTTCAGGCTTACCACTGAACTATCGGCTGGCAAATATGGTATGTTTTACCTGTTCATTTTTACCATATAATTACACAGTGTGATATCTGTACTGTGTTGATAATAAAATCCAAACCTTAAACAAAAATAATTGTACTGCTGCTAAAACTAATAATCGCAGTGATAGCTTTAATAATGATAATATGATTATAGTTCTAATTTGGCCAGGGGATATTTAAAATATTAGTATTATTGACACTATAATAGAGGGAGGGCCCGGCATGACCAGGTGGTTAGGGCACTCGACTCGCAATCTGAGGGTCGCGGGTTCGAATCCCCGTCACACCAAACATGCTCGCCCTTTCAGCCGTGGGGGCGTTATAATGTGATGGTCAATCCCACTATTCGTTGGTAAAGAGTAGCCCAAGAGTTGGCGGTGGGTGGTGATGACTAGCTGCCTTCCATCTAGTCTTACACTGCTAAATTAGGGACGGCTAGTGCAGATAGCCCTCGTGTAGCTTTGCGCGAAATTCAAAAACAAACAAAAAACAATAGAGGGAGACTGTAAAAAAGAAAGCACTTGTTTAAAATGACCATACCTTAGAAAACTACTTGTCCATGGGGAAAGACATCACTAGGGACACATGAAGATCATAAGGTTTATTACGGAAAGTTTGTGTAAAATACAGGATTTTTCAAGATCATATTGTATTGTATACCTAAATAGTTTCTAACAAAAACCAAACCAGCATACATTTATTTCACTTTTCTCTCTCTTTTTTTTATGAACGTCGTGGGTGAGATCCGATAACTTGATTTGCTTCAAATTACAGTATGTAAAATAATAATAAATACATATAAAAACATACAAAGAGCATTAGGTGCCTACATGTTTTTATGGATTGTGATTAACCTTTGTCATTTGACTTAACACTTTGTTCTGGCTACGTAGATGATCGATTAAACATGAGTAGAACATAGTCGTTGGATAGATAAAGCCTAATTTCATCTTAGTGGATATTTCAGCTCAAGAAATCGTGTATCTACGCCCATGAAAACCCAAACTCAGTTCACCAGAAACCTCATCATGATCCTTATGTTACTCTTTGGTGTGGCTTCATTATTTAACTCATTGATCCTTATTTCATTGAATTTGTGATGAAACTGAACGTGCTCCAAGCTATTTCGGTAAATGGATTCCATTATGGCAAATTTTTAGAAGACAAGTTATTATACCCCTGAAAGAGTGATGCATTGAGATAATCACCACCCAAAAATAGGATACAGCGCCCATACCTAACCTTCGTTAAAATGACTCTAACAAACACATTCACTAAAGACAATACCATAAGCCGTTCATTTAGGCAGAAATGGCCGCGAAATCTCCATATTGCTCCAGAAGATTTTTGGCTGTGACATTTCTTCAGTAACATCTCCAAAATGTGGAGAGTAACCTATCATAACACTCTACACATCTTAATGGATCTGAAAACGACTATTTTATGAATTGGATGGTGAGGATCAATGGGAACTGAGAACTGTCCAGAAAAAAAAATATGTTTGTATAAGCTTCATTAGACTATAGGTTTACCGTGCTGACTGAGAATGACAGAAGTAATAGTTTTTGAATCACCCTGTATCATGTCCAAATTTTCCTTAGCAAAATTTTTGATTCTCAGTGTGCATGAGGTGAAGTTTAGTTTCCCAAGGACAACAAGTTTAAGATATTAAGTCGTCAAGAAATTTTGCGTTTTGGAACATTTTCATTAACCCCATCCAAAAAACAAAAACAACGTACAGCACATATAATAGTTAAACAAAACCGCCTAAACGTCACGTTAGTGTACCCTATATAATGTGCAAAGTTTAGTATACTCTAATCCCTTATAATGATGGCACACGACAAGACCCACATTTGGCATGTAATGCTGTCTGAATACAAGAAGGGAAACAACGCCCCTGTAGCCACAAAGAATATCAAAGAAGTTATGAAAATGTTTTGAACGTTCGTAAGTGTCAACGATGGTTCAGCAAATTTCGTTCAGATGACTTTAGCCTTAAAAACAGTGATGGCATGGGCCGACATGTTGGAATTGATACTGATGCTCTGAAGACGCTTGTTGAGTCGAACCAAAGGCAACACACACTCATGAAATGACCCTCAAATTGCATGTCTCTCATGAAACAATATGTAAACATCTAAGGAAGATGGGAAAACTCCATAAAGAAGGTGTTTGAGTGCCTCACAAATTCTCCGATGATCATCGTTTCCAACGTAATGCGCATGAACCATTTGTGGACAAAATTGTCACCGGTGATGAAAAATTAATTTTCTATGCGAATATTAAACACCAAAAACAATGGCTCAGTCCTAGACAAAAACCACTTACGACTCCAAATACCTGGACTCTACCCACAGAAAGTGATGCTTTGCATTTGGTGGGACATCAAGAGAGTAATTCATTTCGAGCTCCTCAATCCACAGCGAAATGTCAATGCAGAGATCTATAGTCAGCAACTGGAACGTTTAAATCAAGCCCTTCACTCGTCAATCGGAAAGGTGTTCTTCTTCTCTTCGACAATACACGTCCACATGTGGAACGTTTGGCGCAACACAATATTATAGAGTTGGGTTGGGAAGTTCTCCCCCACCCACCATATTCTCCACATATGGCGCCATCAGATTACTACATTTTTCGTTCGCTGCAACACCATCTTAATGGGAAAACATATGCAATCGTGTTTGCGTCAAAGCCAAGTGATTTCTTTAATCAGGGCATTAACAACCTGATTGTAAGATGGAGAAGCATCATCGATAATAATGGAGACTATTTCATTTAATAAATGTTTTGTTTTGATATACAAGTTGTTCGGGATTTTTTCATCTAAAAAAGCGATATTAATTTTTTGACGACCTAATATAACCATTTTAGATATGAGATTTTCTTAACAAATACTCTATACTCATAAAGACGCACTAAAAAATCGCTGAGTTACGATAACGTATGGTAAGAGTAACAAACGACATATATTAAAGTTAGAACGGTAGTTACAGCGACAGTTAAGGAAAATTGTTTGTTTGTTTTGAATTTCGCGCAAAGCTACACAAGGGCTATCTGCGCTAGCCGTCCCTAACTTAGCAATGTAAGACTAGAGGGAAGGTAGCTAGTCATCACCACCCACCGCCAACTATTGGGCTACTATTTTACCAACGAATAGTGGAATTAACTGTAACATTATAACGCCCCATGGCTGAAAGGGCGAGCATATTTGGTGGGCCAGGGATTCGAACCCGCGACCCGCAGATTGCGAGTCGAGCGTCCTAACCACCTGGCCATGCCGGGCCGTTTAAAGAATAAAGGAAAAAATAAAGAGCGGGCATAGTGTGAATAATAACAATAATAGTTTACTAATGACAGTAATGAAACACGTCATTGCTGCTATGTTGTAGAAGTAGCCTTTATGAGGTTCTACGACATTTCACTGCCATAATTTTACTGCGTGTCTTTTGACTGCCGACATATGACTGCCGGTGCATTTTATTGCTTGCAAAGGGATGCAGCAATTGATTTTTTTTTTAAGTTTTTCTGTGTGTATAGAAATCAGATTATCGGAATATTATAAAAGCAACTATTATCATGTCAAAAAATACTGAACACGAAAATTACGTCATAAAATTTGTATCCGTGTGAACATAAATAATAGTGTACGTACTGGCTACACAGTGATAGCCTTTTTTTCCCCACAAATTATTCTATCACTTTATTATTCTGTTTTCCAGCAACTTATTCAATTACTTTATTATTCAATTTTATTTTTAATCAAGTTTAGTACGATAATTTATTAGTTCAACGTAAAAGTGTAATTTTTTTAGAATAAATTCGTTCACTGTGTTAGGAAATGTTTTGTTTTGAGAACATAATTATCTGCTGGCATGAAAATGCACCGGCACTCAGTTACTACGCCAGTAAAATGTCGTGGCAGTCACATGTCGGCAGTAAAATGTCGTGATACTCTTTTATGAAGGTGACCATAGTAGTAGTTAAGAAAGTATCGTTTATACATGTAATTGCAAAGGTTGTTATGGAAATAGAGGTAACAGTACTGTGTATCAACAATGGTAGTAACGGTGTTGAAGTAAGATTTGTTTCATTATGGTATATAATGCCTTATGTTAGCGAAACGTGATCTATTGATCGGTAGTTTGTGAAACATTACATCACAAAAACACTAATAATAATTGCTTACAATATTTCTTTATTGGCTCAGTATTAATTAAAAAAAATATACTAGAATAGACCGCAAGAAGTGGAAAAATAATGAAAAACAAAGTGTTCAAAATTGGTAAAATACGCGTCTATGACAAAAACTTTATTATTGTTGCTTCCTCAGGCAGTTTAAACCATGTTACATAACAAAAAAACCTTCGACAGAATCGTGGAAGGGTTAGAATATCAAGAAATTCGAAATTACGTACGAACTACGTTTAGAAAAATAGTGTAAAAAAAGGAACATTGTTGAAGCGGTTCTATAAACAGTTTTAAAAATGGAAAACAAGGATTAAAGTGATAGAAATTGGATTTTAGAAATTAAAAGGACTCAGAAAAATAATAAATATAAATTCAAATAATGATAAAATAGTAATGTTCCTTCTAACAATATTTTTGTTAATGTGCTCCACACAGTACGTACCTAATTTAGAATCAGAAGCCCTTCGTCAGGCAGTTTAAACCGTGTTAAATAGAAAAAAAGGCTTAGACAGAATCATTGAAGGGCTAGAATATAAAGAACCGAAACGTTGCAAATAATAATAAAGTTTTTTTCATAGACGTGTGTTTTACCAATTTTGAACACTTTTTTTCATTGTATTAATTATACAAACAACGACAGCACTGAGAGTTCATTGTAACAGAACCTGTCAACTCCTATTCCCGCCTAGCTAGCTATCTTTTATTTTTTTTAAATTCTTAAACGCATTTGCTATATAATTGTAGTCAAATATAATTTTAGTCTAATTGTAAACTATTTCCAAAACAGATGAGAAACAAAAATAATTATAATTATATGTACACTTACCTCCTCCTCGATGTCATTTACATCTATATCAATCACTGAATGGACATTTTTGGGCTTATAGGGGGCATTGTCATTCACATCTAAGACGTTGATTTTCCCCTTCAAAATGAAAGGTTCTGATGGGCGCACTCCATTCTTACTTCGGACTGTGCACTGAATCTCAAACTCTTGAATCGCTTCATGTTGATCAGCATCTAAATAGGACGAAAGTGACAATGATCCATTGGTCGAGTCCACGGCAACAACGCTGTTTCCTGAATAGAAAAAGAAAGCAAAAATATTTATGAAGATTAATATTGTCTTAATTTCAAATCTAAAATAAATAGAAAGTAAACACACACACACAAAACAACAACAACAACACATAAACAGCTTTGATAAAAATTTTCAAAGAACTTTTAGAAAATATTACCAAAAACAGAAAACATCACACATAAAGGTTTGTTTGTTTGTAATTAAGCATAAAGCTACACAATGGGCTATCTGTGCTCTACCAACCACGGGTATCGAAACCTTGATTCTAGTGTTGTAAGTCGCAGACATACCGCTGTGCCACTAGGAGTTCACACATAAATGATAAACAACTAAAGCTAAGGTACAAACTACAATAATAGAATGATAAATGTATCTTGACAGGAGAGCCTGGCATAGCCTGGTTAGGGCGCTCGACTTGCATTCCGCGGTTTCGAATCCCCGTCACACATTATAAAGTGACAGTCAATACCACTATCTGTTAGTAAAAAAGTAGCCCAAGAGTTGGCGGTGGGTGGTGTTGACTAGCTACCTTCCCTCTGGTCTATCACTGCTAATATTAGGGACGGGTAGCTCAGATAGCTTTGCGCGAAATTTCAAACCTTAACAGGAGAGGATTCTGCTGAAGTAGGATTCAGCGTGAGGGGGATGTAGGGTCTATCAGATTTAACCTCGCATGTGGAAAAAAATCAAAAAAAAATCAAGAGCATATATAGGTTCTACAGGCCGTAGTGTTCCATATCAGAACTACCTTTCACAGTCTGCAGTAAGTTGTGGGAAGGTAATTGTTCTTAATGAGACAGAATCTATATAAATAATACGCTTGCGTTTATCTGTCTGGAAATTTTGTCGCAAATTTCTCGATCAAATGTTACAAATTTTACATCGTTAGAAAGGCCTTTGTCCGAGAAATCCGTATTGAATATTGGTTGTTCAATTCAGAATCACCTTACCTGCAACTAGTATGGTACACGATGGCACAATGTCGTTGTCATCATGTGACGATTGGCTTTGATTTCCACTTTAGTTGTTTTTTTATTTGCAAAGTATTTCACACAAACAATATTTAACTCGGTGTAATTTGCTAAAAAAATTAACATTACACTAAATACAATTTCTATGGGCTTTCTCGACTTATGCATGCACAATTCGTTCAAAACCATATGATTATCACGTTTTGAAAATACCTTCAGATGTTTCTGTATATTTAGCTAAGTTTGCCTTCATTACAACTTTACATTTACTTTACTTTAAAATAATTTAGCTTGGCATGTTTCATAGACTGCTATAAAGGAACTCGGCTATAAACCTACTGGAGTACTCAGGATGATGGTGTAAAACTAGCATATTTTCATAAGCATCGTTTATTCCTGTAATTGGTAATAAGAGAAATTTGTATAAATACTTAGGTAATTTTAAAATTTTCCAATGTTAAACAATCAGAGAGTAAAAACATGTCAGAAGGATGATTAGAGAACGACAGGTTAATATGAAGGAAGAAAAGGACTCCCTCTTCCCCAGAGCAACACAATAATATGAAAAAATGTTGAGCAATGTAGTACTGTGAGCGAAGAACGAAGCTTTAGAAACCATAGTTTGCAAAACTGAATACTGAAGTTTATGAAAGACATAAATTGGGGCAGTGTCACACAATACACAACTGCACTTAAAGTTTTAACAAATAATTGTTTGGGATATAAAATACAATAGTATCTATCAGAAGCCTTAAGAGGTGCCAGAAGCATTCTGAGCAGAGTAAACCATTTTTGACAATCAGCCATCGAAGCAAATATAGAAAACTTACAAACTATTTTTGTAAAGTATAACACTAAGCATCAATATTCTATTACTCTAAAGATAGGCAATTAACTTATATGAAGAGCTGAACTAAATCTGGAGTGACAAACAATTTCTTTATATGTTAGAACTGTATAAAGAGAAACCTCAGCTACCAGCCAAGTTTGAATGAGGTTAAGGGCAGTTAGAAAGAAAAACTAAAATTTCAATCATGTTTCTAGGGTGAGACAACATTAGCATAAATGCCACAATGGTTATCTCATTGAAGACAATCCGCCATATCACTAAGTATAATTGCAAACAAAGTGGAGTTGAGCTTTGATTCCTGAAGCACTCCACGAGAAAGAGACGTACCAATGAAGTGGGAGTTTTCAATTTTAATAAAGAAAATTTTAACATTCAAATAATGATTATGAAGCCTTCTCAAGAAATACTCTCTACAGTAGGTGATGAGTTTTTGAAGAAGACCATCTATTCAAATACCAAATATTTAGAACACAATTATGCGTGACCAAGTCTTATAAAACAGGCTTTCAGAGTTGCAACACGCAGTCAAGGGTTATTTTGCCCTTACAAAAGCCAGCTTGTTGAATAGAAAAATTGACCATAATGTTCAAGAAACCATGAAATGGAAGAGTATATCATGTGTTCCATAACTTTTATAATACAAATGGATAGAGAGATTAGCTTAAAAGAAAGAAGCAATGCAGCTTTACATGATTTAAGAGGATCATGTTGACATATTTCCAATCTCACAGGCAGATTTTTGTAGCCCATCTGTCATTGAACAGATCCAAAAGAAATCTTTGGTGTGTGCATCAAGGTGAACTAACATAAAGTAGGGTACTCCATGTGATACAGAATGCATACGTACTTATATCATACTGTAAAATCAAATATAATATTCGTTTAATCTTAATTTAAACGTGTGTGGATAAAGCATGAAATAAGGGGGTCCATTTGAAATTTGAATTTACAGTCGTAAAATATACTATATAGAAGGGGTTAAAAAACCTTTATGTATGTCCTCAGTTTGGGAATGGGCATTTATTTTAAAGTAACATGTACGAATATAAGTGTATTATTAAGACATCTCTTATTGAAACAATAATTATGAATTGTCTGTGATACAACTTAAATCTATGCACATAGATCAATCTAAAATACACCAACTGTTTAATTGTTCTTCTCTTTAGAGACTACTAGCTCACAAAACATATTCGAAAAGTGCCGTTCATTAAAACCATTCATTGCTGATTGTTTGTCTCAGGATTTCGTGCAAAGTTACATAAGGGCTATCAGCACATAGCCGTCCTAATTTCAAAATAATAGACTAAAGGGAAGTCAATTGTAAACAGCATCCAACGCCAACTCTTGGTCTACTCTTGTCTGGCTGACGATTACAGGCTTTTAAAGGAAATTTTTGATCTAAGTAAACATTTCTGTACTCAATGGGGAATTGAGCATGATTAGTGCTTACAGTGCCCAGATTGTTTAATACGAAGATTCCAAGTTCGCGACCTATTGCCGAAAATACGCTCTCCGAGTGATAGTCAAATCCCACTGATTAAAAATTGTATGTTTCAAAAACGTGAGCGAAATGTTGATAAGATCACCCGTAGATAATAATGTTTTTTTTTGTTGTTGTTTTTACAACAAACAACTTTCAAAGAAAGGGCGATCCTACATGACATTTAATTTTTCTTTCAACTTTGTTTTATTTTATTTTAACTTTATTTTGTTCACAAAATGTTAGTTTTGTATACAAACTTTATTTTGTTTTATTTCCTAGTATCTACGCATATTTTTATAGTTATAAAAATGACGAAGTAAAACCTATAATGTGTACATTTTCAAGAGTGATGTAATAAAGAAAGATTTTGCAATTCAGTTTACTTATGCCCTTTGATCAGTGAATAACTATTTAGAGTGAATGGTGTAACTAAGAATAGCATAAGTCATGCTTTATTATCTTATGTAACTTTCAAAGTGGCTGAAACATAAATCCAATCACCTGTAAAGCGTTCGTCCAACCTCTAACAGTACAACACTTCTACATTGTCAGTTTCCCTAAAACAGTTTTTTAGATTGATAAATGGAATACTCGAACTTTGGAAGGTTTTCAATGAATTTACAAACTGGATCAGACATCTACTTAAACATAACAAAAGCAAGTGTCATAACGTGATTCGTTTGAATGTATATGATAAAGTAATGGTGTAAAAAACAGCGATGTGTAAAGCGTTTTACATAAGTTCAGTTGTTCTACAATTTAGATCAACGTCAGAAAACACAAACGTATAAAGGATTATATGAATCTTATCTGTTCAAACAATAAGACATATTCAAATGTTTATTGATACACTACTTCGTAAAGGTTGACATACTAATATTTCAATAATAGTTTTTCTGACACATCATTTGAAATAAATTTTGTGTAGAAGTCCTTATCAACTTACAAGAAAACTAATCTTTTCTTTCACTGGCATCGAGGCAGCAGGAAAACGCTTCAGTTTAATCTGTTTATATAGCACGATTATCTTTTAGGATTCTTTTCTAACATTATGGATGAAAGATGAGTGACATGATATTGACCTTTGACTTGATCAATTCTTACCATAAAGTTGTTGAAGTTATCTAAAACGTACACTCAAAATATACTTCATATGTATTAAAACGATCATCAGATTTACTTCTTTGATCTTCATCAATCTTTTCAATCAATTCAATTTTCCATTTCGGGTATATAGGTATCAAGTTTGTTCAAATTTGCAGAACTTTTACATTAAAATAACTTGCGGCCAAAATAGAACTACTTTCATTTTGGAATGTTGAACGGTTACATAGAAAACAAACTCAAAACTTAAGACACAATTTAATGTGCTTTTTCAATCAGGCCAACAACAACAAAAAAGAAAATATTTACCGATATTCATTGTTCGAAGAATAAACAATTGAACAAACATATCGCAGTTGTAGCAGGCTTTGACGTAAAATTATGTTAAGCTAAAAAAAAAAAGTTGTAATTTTTGTACTTCTTGAAGTCCTTCATGTTAACTTCAGGAGTACTGAACTG